CGTTTGCCTCTGGAAGAGCACCAGCTCAGGGCCAGGCACTGCGGACCAAGGGGATGGGTGATCACTCCCTCCTCTGTTCTCTTTCTAGCTATGCTGTTGAGCGTAAGATTGAGCCTTTCTACAAGGGCGGAAAAGCACAGGTATCAGCCCCGGGGCGGGCAGGGTGGTGGGGCAGTGGGAGCTATCGGGCTGCCGAGTGTTACCTTGGCTGAGATGCCTCTGTGCCCAGCTGGACCGGACCGGGCAGCACCTCTTCTGCGTCTGTGGTACCAGAGTCAATGTCCTCGAGGTGGCCTCGGGGAGCGTGCTGCGGAGCCTGGAGCAGGTGAGAGAGAGTGGGTGTGCATGAGGGGACCATTGGGGAGAGCAGCCTGTGCACATGGCGCTCTGGGCACCCACTCTTTCCTCTAGGAGGACCAGGAGGACATCACGGCCTTTGACCTCAGCCCTGATGATGAGGTATATGGGGCAGGGATGGGAGAAGAGTTCTGGTGCTTCCCTTCTACACTTTGGATGAGAATGTCCCTATCTGTCAGCTGAATTGCACCCTCCCCCAGGTGCTGGTGACAGCCAGCCGGGCATTGCTGCTGGCACAGTGGGCCTGGCGAGAGGGCAGTGTTACCTGCTTGTGGAAAGCGATACACACAGCCCCCGTGGCCACCATGGCCTTTGACCCCACCTCCACACTGCTAGCCACAGGTACGCCCTAAGTGGGCAGATGGGCTGGGGGGGGCACGAGGACAGGGGCTTTGGGCACACCAGCCCCCTCACCCCAAACACTTTCCCGCAGGTGGCTGTGATGGGGCTGTGCGCATCTGGGACATTGTGCAGCACCATGGGACACACCACTTTCGGGGCTCACACGGTGTCGTGCAGTGAGTGGGGGCAGCAGGAGGTGGGTAGGCAGAGGCAGCACACTCGGAGCACGCAGCTCACCCATCCTGTCCCACCTGCCCCCGCAGTCTGCTGGCCTTCCACCCGGACCCTGCCCGCCTGCTGCTCTTCTCCTCAGCCGCAGACGCTGCCATCCGCATGTGGTCACTGCAGGACAGGTCGTGCCTAGCTATGCTGACTGCCCACTACAGTGCTGTCACCTCGCTGGCCTTCAGTTCTGACGGCCACACTATGCTCAGGTCAGTGGCAGGCCCTGGTAGGAAGGGGAGGCCACGGCCGAGACTCTGGACCTAAGGTGGCTGTTTCCCTGCAGCTCCGGCCGTGACAAGATCTGCATTGTTTGGGATCTTCGCAGCTGCCAGGCCACGAGGACTGTGCCAGTGTTTGAGGTGGGGACACGTGGGGGCCAGGGCTAGAGAATTGGGCAGGGAGCGGATATGGCTGCAGCCTTTGACCCAGTTCGTTCCCAGAGTGTGGAGGCTGCTGTGCTGTTGCCAGAGGAAGCAGCGCCTGAGCTGGGTGTGAAGTCTCCAGGCCTGCACTTCCTGACAGCTGGCGACCAAGGTATGTGGGGGCAGGGCACGGGCAGGCAGCAGGGCTGGGGGAGGCCCATGGACCTGAGTCTCAGCAGCCCCATCCCCACGCAGGCACGCTGCGCGTGTGGGAGGCGGCTTCTGGGCAGTGTGTGTACACGCAGCCCCGGCTGCCAGGCCCTGGGCGGGAGCTGACCCACTGTGCTCTGGCCCATGCTGCCGGCCTGCTCCTCAGCGTCACCGCCGACCACAATCTGCTGCTCTACGAGGCACGCTCGCTGCGGCTGCAGAAACAGGTAAGCACCTCCCCTGCTCAGCCTGGGGTTGGGGCACCAGCCCTGCTCTTAGCCAGGTCCTGGCTTCTGTCTTTCCTGCTCTCAAAGTTTGCAGGCTACAGTGAGGAGGTCTTGGATGTTCGGTTCCTTGGGCCTGAGGACTCCCATGTCGTTGTGGCCTCCAACAGCCCCTGCCTGAAAGTATTTGAGCTACAGACGTCATCCTGCCAGATCCTCCACGGCCACACAGGTGAGTGGAGCCCAACTCATGCCCCAGGGGTGTGTTGCCCCCACCCCCAACCTTGCCATAATTGTTCTCCAAGCGCTCAACCTGACACTTCTTCCCAGACATCGTCCTGGCCCTGGATGTGTTTCGGAAGGGGTGGCTCTTTGCCAGCTGTGCCAAGGTGAGGCACCTGAGAGATGTAGAGGTATGGGCACCCCAGGAGGGGAGGCCAAGGCAGCGGGACCACAGCATAGCCTCTCTCCCCAGGATCAGAGCGTCCGTATCTGGAGGATGAACAAGGCTGGCCAGGTGACCTGTGTGGCGCAGGGCTCCGGGCACACGCATAGCGTGGGCACCGTCTGCTGCTCTAGGTAGCGGGTCAGGGCTGGACCTGGAAGTGTCAGAGGCGGCGAAGGCCCAGGCCTCCCAGTGGGTGCTGCAGCTCAGGGAGCAGCAGAGGAGGCAGTTGCAGCGATGGTGGCTTTGGCCTGGGCTCTTTGAGCAGGCATGTGGAACAGCAAACGGGTGGTGGAGCCCCCAGGCACCATGGATGTGGGGGGATTCCTGGGGAGTAGCCTTGGTGAGGCAGAGGGTGTCAGGATAGAGAGACACTGAGCGAGGCCCAGGTGGGAGAAGACAGCGTTTAGGGTTGGGGTCGTTGGTTGGTTCCAATTTACTGGGTATGGTAGCACCAAGGGTGGATAGTGCAAAAAGGGATTTGGCCCCTGGAGTGTTTGGGGGTGACACAACCAGTCTGCATCCTTGGACAGTCCCTCTGGTCTGGACTGGGGTGATTAGCGCTGTCCAGGGCTCAGCAGTCCCCATCCCCCCCTCCTTGGGCCGCAGGCTGAAGGAGTCCTTCCTGGTGACTGGCAGCCAGGACTGCACCGTGAAGCTGTGGCCCCTTCCTGACGCCCTGCTGTCTAAGAGCACAGTTCCAGACAGCGGCCCCATCCTCCTGCAGGCCCAGACCACCCAGCGCTGCCATGACAAGGTGACCACACGTGCCCACAGTGGGCGGGGCGGTGGCCGAGCCTTTGCTGGGTGGGGGTCTGAGCTGCTGCCTGCTCCCTCGCCAGGACATCAACAGTGTGGCTGTTGCCCCCAATGACAAGCTGCTGGCAACAGGCTCACAGGACCGCACGGCCAAGCTGTGGGCCCTGCCGCAGTGCCAGCTGCTGGGCGTCTTCTCAGGCCACCGCCGCGGCCTCTGGTGTGTCCAGTTCTCACCCATGGACCAAGTGCTGGCCACAGCCTCGGCTGATGGCACCATCAAGCTTTGGGCACTACAGGACTTCAGCTGTCTCAAGGTCAGCAACGTCCCCCAGGCCCAGCCCCCCCACCCCGATGACATCTCATGCCCTCCCCTTCCCCACCTTGCAGACATTTGAGGGGCATGATGCTTCCGTGCTGAAGGTGGCCTTCGTGAGCCGAGGCACGCAGCTGCTATCCAGGTGAGAGGTGGAGCGAGGCAGGTGCTAGGGCAAGGTAGGGGACTGGCCCCAGCACTGAGCCTCTCCCAACCCCAAACCCAGTGGCTCTGATGGGCTCATGAAGCTATGGACCATCAAGAACAACGAGTGTGTGCGGACGCTGGACGCCCACGAGGACAAGGTCTGGGGTTTGCACTGCAGCCGGCTGGATGACCGTGCCCTCACCGGTGCCAGCGACTCCCGTGTCATCCTCTGGAAGGTTGTGGGCCCCAAGGGGTGGGGCGGGGTGGGGTGGGGTGAGGGTCCCCTCTGACCCTAGTCTGTTTCCAGGACGTGACTGAGGCAGAGCAGGCAGAGGAGCAGGCCAAGCAGGAGGAACAGGTGGTCAAGTAAGTCTGTGGTCATCCCCTCCCTGAGGGGCAGGGTGTGCAGTGTCACCCCTGCTTATGCTGTAGGGAAACTAAGGCTGGGTGCCGTGCTCACTGCCAGTGGGTGTTCAGGCCCAGGCCTGCTAAGCCAGGGGTGCTGCCTTCAGCCCCCCAACCAGCATTCTCAGTGGCCTTCTCCTCCCCCGCCCCACCAGGCAGCAAGAACTAGACAACCTGCTCCATGAGAAGCGGTACCTGCGTGCGCTGGGCCTGGCCATCTCCCTGGACCGGCCCCATACTGTGCTGACTGTCATCCAGGGTCAGTGCCCTCACCCTAGGGGCAGGGAGGGTGGGCTTGGGACCATTGGGCCCTTTGCTGCGGCTCAGTCTTCCCTCCTCCCACAGCCATCCGGAGGGACCCTGAGGCCTGTGAGAAGCTGGAAGCCACTGTGCTCCGCCTGCGGCGAGACCAGAAAGGTCCAGGGCTGGCAGGCGGGGGGCTGGGCCAGGCGGGGTGGCCTCGTGTGCAGGGCCAGTCTGGGTGGAATGGCCCCGCAGGCAGGGTGACCACCTCTGTTGCCTACAGAGGCCCTGCTGCGCTTCTGTGTCACGTGGAACACCAACTCGCGGCATTGCCACGAAGCCCAGGCCGTGCTGAGCGTGCTTCTTCGGCACGAGGCCCCGGAGGAGCTGCTGGCCTACGAGGGTGTGCAGGCAGCACTCGAGGCCCTGCTGCCCTACACTGGTGCGTGGGCGTGGCCTGGGGGGGCAGCCTGGTGGGCATATGGACCCCCCTGACCTCCCTCTGTCCCCCCCCAGAGCGGCACTTTCAGCGGCTCAGCCGGACACTGCAGGCAGCCACCTTCCTGGACTTCCTGTGGCACAACATGAAGCTGCCCACTCTCCCCGCAGCCCCCCAACCCTCAGAAACACATAAAGGCGTACTTTCCTATCCTGGCTCCGTGTGGCTGCATGGGCTGTCTCATCCCAGGTCTCTGGCCACAACCGTGACCAGCTACCATGGGCATCAGGGCCTGTCTGTCGGTCTCCACCTGCCTGCCCACCCCTGTACCCTGGTCGGGCAGCCCCTCAGCACAGTGAGACTGGGTTTGGGTCATTCAGAGTTTTACTCAGAAGAAATGGGAACCCACCCCCCAGCCAGGGACGACCCCACCTCTGCTCCTCCCCTGGCGCTGGGGATGGCGTGGCCACAGACAGGGGCAGTCATCCTGCCGGTCCTTGGCCCACAGGGGTTTTGGGGTGCATAGTGCAGGCCTCCCCACGTGGTTCCACAGCCCTCAAGGGGTGCCCTGGGGCCCTAAGTGCTGCCCCAGTGCCCTGCGGGTGATGGTGCAGCAGCGGCTCTGGATGGCACTCAGCGGGGGTCGGGCGGGCACAGTAGGGGCAGGGGCCCTGGCCTGGGGGGCGTCAGGGGAGCCACAGGCCTCACCAGCTCCGTCCTCCCCACCAGGGAAGCCGGGCCCGTGGAGGAGCGCGCCCAGCCCTTCTGGCTGCAGCAGCACTGCGGGGAGGAGGCCTGCATGGCCACCATACCTGCAAGGGGCAGGGCTTGGTTAGGGACCCGACCACCTCCCAGGCTCTCAACCCCCCCCAACCCCAGTCCCCTTTCCCTGCACCTGCACAGCCACCAGCCCCTGTCGGACGTTTCCAGTACATGTACCCGCGCCCCCGCAGGCACCGACAGTTCATCTGCACAGCTGCTCTCGTAGGCTCGGGAAGCACAGAACGGGGGGCCTAGGAGTGGGTGTTTGGGATTACCATGGGAGCAGAGGCCAGGGCCCCCACCTTTCTTCGGGTTCTCCCTTTATGTTTGGCTCTGTGCTGAGACCACTGTAAACCCATTTGGGGCTCCCTCTAGCTGTGGCAACCAAGTATGGGCTCCCAGGCCCCTGTCATCTCTGCCCTCCCCTCTGGTGCTTTCTCTGCCCAGTCTTGCCAGGCAGTCCAGGGACAGCGGTGGGGGAGTGGGAAGGGTCATACCGCTGCTCCCCATGGATGGCTTCCCCTCTGGGCCCTGGCCTAGGGCCACCTCCTCCAGGTAGGGAGCTGGAAACCAGGCCGTCTGCTGGTCTTCGTTCTCCACCAGCCACCAGCCTGCGCACAGCAAGTGGGAGGGACTCGGGTCCCAAGGCCCACTCAGGACCAGGGGTCAGAGGGCGCATCCCCATCCCAGTAGCGCCCTACCTGAGGGGTGTCGCAACAGCACGTCTAGGCTTTCCTGGGCCCGCACATGGAAAGACCTGCCCCTCGTGTCCTGGGTGCTGAAGGGCTGCAGGCAGCGCAGGCTCTGAGTCTCCAGGCTGTGGATGGCGAGGCTGCCAGCAGGGCGGGATGAGGGCTCCTCAGGGGCCGGCAGGATCACCAGGCTGGGAAGGGCAGCCGGCACAGGGGAGAGGTTGGGTGGGTGGGCTCACCACGGTCCCCAAGTCCACCCAGGCTCCAAATGCCCTGGAGTTGGGGGTGGGTCAGGCACCTGCCCGGTGGTAATTTGGGCTCCAGGTCGAGGGGTCGTGGTGCAAAGAAGCTGGTGAGCGCTGAACTCTGCACTACACGCTCCGCAGTCTCCAGCAGCGTCCGTGAATAGGTCTCCAGCAGCCGCAGGCGGGCCAGGCCTCGGCCCACGCGTCCCCCGCGCGCCAACAGCGGTGCATCTTTGGACACCATAAAAGCGCACCGTGGAACCCCACCCCTGGCTCTCCTGCCCCCCTCCCCACAGGGGCTGCCTTCCCCACCCCTCCTGGGGCCCCAGCTGGCCTGACCAGGAAGCTTGGGGAGAACGCGGTCAGATCTCCGCAGCAGGCCAGCCTCCACTGGGAAGGTCTCTTTGAGGGTCTTCTGAGGGCACAAACTGGGGTATCAGTCTTGGAGAGCCCACCAGGGTCCCCTGGGAGGGCAGGGTCCCTGGCCCAGCTCTTAGGAGCTGGAAGTCAGAGAGGACAGCAAGGGAGGCCGTCGGGGCAGGGGGCTCACTGGTGGTCTGGGAGGCAGCTGACTGGCTGGGGGGAGCCAAGACCGTCCGTTGGGGTCACCCAGGGTCACTTACCTGGAGCTGCCTGAATTCGTCCCAGCTTCTGCGCACGAAAGTGTCACTGCCGTCTGACCAGTGCACTGAGAAGGCGAAAGTCTGCAGGAGGAAAGATTGGAGGCAACTCAGGACCCTACTCCCTCCCCCTTAGGACCGGTGGGGACCTAGTCAGGTCTTACCTGGAGCTGCTTAATCTGTACCAGGGCTGCCGCGCGCACTGAAACGGGGTGCCTGGGGCCTGCCATTGCTGCCACCTCGCAGGCTGCGGGCCTCTGAAGTGGGTGGGCACGGCTGACAAGCGCGCCACCTCTCTGCCCTCCAGGGGGCTCCCCTGCACCCGGAAGACTGGCTGGAATGGAATTCCCCGCCAACGCCCCAAACCTGTGGGTCCCTGTGGAGCTGTCCCGCCCACTCCTGGGTCCTTTGCAGCTTCCTTGCCGTCCCTGAAGCCCAAGATCTGGGGTTGGAGCACAGGGCTTGGGGGCCCAAGGCAAGGATGGTGGAAGAATGAGCTGCCAGTCCTGGAGGTGTGCAAGACGCTGTCCTGAAGAATGGGTGATGGAGGGGCTGGGGCTGCTGCCTGCCCCTCCTCCCCCGCATGAGTCTGGCCATGGGAAGAGGTGGGGAAAAGGGAGAGTCACCAAACTGCCACCCGTTCTGCTGGCCCACCTCTCTGGACTCTCCTGGCCCTGCGAGGTGCTGGGATTGGTGCAGCCTCCTGCCTCGGTGCACCCAACAGCACTTTCAACTGGCCTGAGGGGCTTGTCATCTGGAACCAAGCACTCAGTGCTTAGGGATTTAAGTGCCTTGTCTGCCTTAATCCTAGTATTGGGGGAAAGGTCTCTTAATGTCCCCAAGTCACAGAGGAGGAAATAAGAATTAAATGGATATTTATTGTGAGTTTTTTTGTGCATGCTGGGGGTTGGGGGTGGGGCACAGACCTCACAGGCTCTCCCTAGGAGTTCTCCTGTGGCAGGGAGACTTGGGCAAGGCTGAAGAGAGTCCATCTTTGCAGTCACTGGCACTTAGGGGGTTGGGTAGGTGGTCACTAGGACTGTTTTGAGAGCCCCCTCTGAATTCATGATTTATCACAACTGTCTGCAAACACGACCTCTGTGGTTAGGAGGGACTCATTCTCCCATCAGCTGGGGGAGGCTGCAGGCTCTGGAATCTCTAGACAGAGGGCTCACCCAGGTGCCCCACCTCTCCAGATTGCTTCCTTATAGTGTTTTCCAGAACCACATTCAACTCTGACACACAGTGGCTCTTCCTGGTGCTGGGATTCCCCCACCCCAGCCCCTCCAAGGAGGGGTCAGCTTGTGAGACATCCCTCCAGGAAACCGCCTTGACCTCAATAAAGGGCCTTTGTCTGTCCACCAGCGGCTCCCTCTGAAGCCCTCAAGCTTTGCCTGGTCCTGGCCCAGACAATGAACACCTGCTGTCAGGCCTGATTTGCAGAGTGCCTTTCAGCTCAGCTGTCACTCTCTCCCTAACCTCTGCCCAGGGCCTAGCTGGCCTGTGGGGTTGAATTGGGGATAGACCCTGCTCCCCTGGAAGACAGAAAGCAGGTCTACTCACAAGCAGGAACCAGGAGGGATTCTGAGGCCCCCTCCCCACCCCAACCGATAGCCCCTTGCTCCACACCCATCAGCTCTGGATCGCGTCCACTTTTTCTCTGCCTCACCCCTACCCCTTCTCTCCTGAGCAGCCACGACAGCTCCCCCCATCCCTGGACTCCTCACTTGCCCCTATGAAAGCTACTCCCCATGTGACAGGCACAGGGATCTTTGCAAAACAGAAATGGGATCCGGTTAGGGGGTAGCCTTGCCCAAAACCGCCCAGCACCTTCCCACTGCCCTTAGGAGAAACTCCCACTGCCCACAGCAGCTGGCAAGACCCTCGGTGGGTCCCTGCCCAGCTCTGGACCTCCTGCCCCGCTCCCAAACGTCCTGCCCACCGGCTTTCTGCCTCTGCAAAATGCCAGGACCCTCCCAGCTTGGGCTTGGCCCTGAGAGTAGTTCTCGGCCGATTCCTCGTCTTTCAGGCTCCTGTCCAAGGGTCGCCTCCTTAAGGAGGCCTTCCCGACTTGCCACCCCTGTGCGCGCCCCGCCAGAGCTGGTAAGCGAGGCTCTCTCAGTCACTCCTGGCTTTGCTTGTCTTGGCCACTGACTGGGCAGTGAACCGAGGCGATCGGGGAACAGACTCTCGTTCCCCGTTCTCAGCGCCTGGAACAGCGAATGGGACAGACCAGGCCTGCAAGCCTATTGCGGAGCGAACGCGCGCGCGCGCGCGGGCACAGCAGCCCCCGAGGCTCCCACGGTGCGCGCGCTCTCATCCGGGCTACCGGAACACGGCGCGTGCCGCCTCCCCAGCGGCCGCGGACCCGCCCCGCGTTGACCCCGTTGCCATGGCGCCGGGCGCCGGGGCGGAACCGCGGGCGCAGGGTCCTAGCGCGCACACGGCTCTGTGAGGGCAAGCCCCGCCCCGCGCTGCCAGGCGCGCGTTGCCAGGCGCCCGTTGCCATGACGCTGGGTAGCCGGCAGGTGGGCGCGCCCCTCGGCTGAGGGCACAGAGCCTGGCCCCGGGCACGCCGGACGGCCAGAGCGGAGCGATGGGGGCGGCGCGAGCCGCAACACGGACTTCGCCTCGGCCTCAGCCGGAGTCCACAAGGCGACCGCGGCGCGGCTTCCACAACACGCTGCTATTCTACTGGAGGAAGCGGGAACGCCGCCACGGACGACGCAAGCCGGGTCCGGGCCGGGGAACCAGGCCCAGGGCCGCGAGCAGGGCCCGGCCCCCTAGCCCCGCGCCCGCCTCCGCCCCCGCGCCGGCCTCCGCCACTGCCCGGGCCTCCGGCCCCGCCTCAGCCCCGGCCCGGGCCTCCGGCCCCGCCTCGGCCCGCTCCCCGGCCTCTGGCTCCGCCTCGACCAGGACCCGGACCCCGGCCGCCGGCCCCGCCCCTGCGCCGGGGCCCGCCCCGAGTCCCGCCCCCAGCCCGGCGTCCGACCCGGCCTCCGCGCCCGAGGCGCGCGTCCCCGGCTCCTGTGGCCGCGCGCTGGCGGCAGCGCGCGCGCTGGCCTGGAGGCCGACCTGGAGGCCCATCTGGAGGCCAACCTGGCCCGGCAGACATTGCGCGGGCAAGATGGCGGCGCCCGGGGAGCGGGGCCGCTTCTACCGCGGAAACCTCTTCTCCTTCTTGCCGGGCGGCGCGCGCTCGGAGGTGATGGACGACCTGGCGACCGACGCGCGGGGCCGGGGCGCGGGGCGGAGAGACGCTGCCGCCTCGGCCCCGACGCCAGCCCAGGCGCCGACCTCCGATTCTCAGGTCGCCGAGGACGCCTCCCGGAGGCGTCCCTGCAGGGCCTGTGTGGACTTCAAGACGTGGATGCGGACGCAGCAGAAGGTTTAGATGCCCTGCCCGACCTCCCAGCCCCAGCCCTCAACCCCCGCTCCTTGTCCTCAGGTGCCCTGGGCAGACCTTCCAGGGGCCTAGGCCCCCAGGTTGGCTATCCCTAAACTTTGCCCCCGTCCCGCCCCACGTAGGCCTGGCCTTTCATCCTTCAGCAGTGTGTGAGCCAGACTTCTTTCTGGAGTCCGTGGGCTACCGACTGGGGCATAAAAAGAGGGAACTTTGTGGGCTTTATGTTGGGGGAGAATGAACTGACCCTTAGTCGGCCTACTTCTGCAGCGGGACAGCAAGTTTAGGGAGGATTGTCCACAGGATCGAGAGGAACTGGGCCGCCACAGCTGGGCTCTCCTCCACACCCTGGCCGCCTACTATCCCGACCTGCCCACCCCAGAACAGCAGCAAGACATGGCTCAATTCATACATTTATTTTCCAAGTTCTACCCATGTGAGGAGTGTGCTGAGGACCTAAGGAAGAGGTAAGCTGTGTCTGCAGGCAACAGACCATTGTACCTGGAGCCTGGGCCTGGGGCCCTTGGCTGATGTCATAGAGGGAAGCCTAGAGAAATAGTGGCAGGGTGTTGCTGAGGACCAGGGACCACCAATAGATTGGGGATCGGGGTTATTTGAGCCTTCTTTCTCCTCAAAGGCCACACTGCCTTGATCTGCTGCTGGGCATCGCTGTGTTCTGTGGCCACAGGCTCCCAGGAAGGGCTTTCCTCCCTCGGTTAGCACTGATAGAGACTGGAGACTCCAAGCAAGTTAGGGAGAACACTTTGCCTGATTTCTGGAGCAGGACTGGTGGTTTTAAGACCTTGGGAACCCATTGCTTTTGCCCCCCAAAGTCTTTCCCTCATTGAGGCACCCAAGAGTTGGCCCTGGCTGTTACAGGTGTTTCTAGGCTGGGTACTTGGGCAGAGCTGCCTGGGCAGTTAGAATGAGGTCTTTTGCTCCAGGGCCTCAGGTGCTAAGAAACAAGTCTAGTTTCCAGTTCTGCGGTTGTGCCCAGCCCCACCCTTTCTACTCCGCCTGGGGCCAGGGACACTGGCATGAGGCTTCCTGATTGTTATAAGGTTGTAAAATTGCCAGGTCTGTGCTTTAATGTCTTGCCCTGGGCCCTTGTCAGGGTTTTCCAACCTCCCCGAGTGGGTGTTTGAGCAGTCCTGGGAGTTGAGCACACCTAGGAAGCTCTAGGGTCAAGCCTGTTCTAGGAATTCCTATCTCTTGGAGCATGAGGGCACTTCTAGGTGCCCCAGCTCTTTTTTTTTTTTTTTTTTTTTTGAGACAGAGTCTTGCTCTGTTGCGGTGGCTAAAGTGCCATGGGATCAGCCTAGCTCACAGCAATCTCAAACTCCTGGGCTCAAGCGATCCTGCTGCCTCAGCCTCCCGAGTAGCTGGGACTACAGGCATGCACCACCATGCCCGGCTAATTTTTTCTGTATATTTTTAGTTTTTCAGCTAATGTCTTTCTATTTATAGTAGAGACGGGGTCTTGCTTTTGCTCTTGCTCAGGCTGGTCTCGAACTCCTGAGCTCAAACGATGTGCCTGCCTTGGCCTCCCAGAGTGCTGGGATTGTAGGTGTGAGCCACTATGCCTGGCCTGGTGCCCCAGCTCTTCTTCCTTAGGAACAGGCAGGGAGCTGGCAGACTCAGTGGAGCCACTGCCCCCTCCAATCCTTCCTGTGCTCCCCCACGCAGGATATGCAGGAACCAGCCAGACACACGCACTCGGGCGTGCCTCTCCCAGTGGCTGTGCGGCCTGCACAACGAGGTGAACCGCAAGCTGGGCAAGCCTGACTTCGACTGCTCAAAAGTGGATGAGCGCTGGCGTGACGGCTGGAAGGATGGCTCCTGTGACTAGAGAGTGGCAGCCAGAGCCCATGGGGCAGCCAGCCAGGGCCCATGGGGTGGCCTGGCTGGACAGGAGCAGGGCACTCATTAAAGTGAACAGAGCCAGAGCCTGTCGTGTCTCAGTTGGGTGGTCACCAAGACACTGCCATGGAGTCCTGCCCCTCTCAGGTTTTGGGTAGAAGTGGAGGTGCCACTGCAGCACTGCAGGCACCCTGCTGGCCTCCTCAGCCCAAGCCCCGTGGGACTGCAGGCGAGGGAGGTGGGAGCAGCCCAGGATGCCCCTCAGCATCCAGGGTGAGGCTTCTGCTCAGCCCACACCCTGGCACCCAGTTCCTCACACAAGAAGACAGCAGGCCTGGCTGGGCTGCCCTATGCCTGCCCCTTGAGGCCAGGCCATTGCCTTCCCACACCTACAGTGGGGACACCTGCAGTGCCCGTGGCTCTGTGCCACCCACTTCAGGAATGAGGGCTGGGGGCTGAGCTCTCCACTCCACTCAGTCTGTAAGGGAAGCCCAGGCAGGGTTCTTCCTTGAGGGTCTACCAGCCATGCTGCCCACTCCCATGGGCCTTCCACAGCTGTGCCAGGCCTGTCAACAGAGGCTTCATGTGGGCAGCGTCCTCAGAGTTTGAGGCCAAAATAAAATGCTGGAAAAGTGACTGAGGACCTGGTTTCGGTGTGCTTTGTGCTGGGGCTCGCAGCAAGGGACAGGGCCTGCTCCTGCCCTTCTGTGTTCAGCTCTGCTTTCCCATGTGGGGTTCTGGCTCTTTAGGAAGAGGGGAGGTCCCCAAGTGGGAGCAGGCCGGAGTATTCCAGCAACGGTAAGGCGGCTGATGGGCTGGGGCACTGGGGGCCGGAGTAGCTGCTGGAGGCCAGAGACAAGGGGAGGTGACAGCACAAGGTCTGCAAGGCCCCAGCAAAGACATGGCTTTAACTCCACGCTCTTGGAGCATTTGGAGCCAGGTATGGCAGGGAGTGATGCGACTTTTGGAAAGTTCTTCTGGCCGATGAGCTGGGATGAAGCAGGTGAAGGTTAAAGCCAGGGTGGTCACCCATGTGCCAGCTGAGAGGAAGGCTCACCCCTGGGAAGAGGATGCTGGATCCCTTGAAGATAGAACCAGAGAATCCCCAGGTTGAGAAAGGAGCCAGAGGAGACTGTTGGGAGTCGCTCTGTGCATCAGAGATGGAGAAGACAGTGCAGCAGGTTTAGGGGTGACCTGGACCCAGCTTTTGGGCCTCCCCAGATCTGCTCAGTTCCACCTGTCTCTAGGCCTTGGCTCCCAGCCAGAACAGCCCAGCCACAGTGTGTGTCCCAGGCCTGTGGGCATAAAGCTCTGGGCACCTCTATCCAGGTGTCTCAGCCTTTCCCTGGGAACAAGTTGACCCTGGCCGCCTCATCCAGAGGTTGCTGCCGTACCTCTACCTGATTGGCCCCATGGGGTACTGGCTTCTGCAGGGGCTGCCCAAGGGGTCAGGTAGCATAAATGAGAAAGAAGTTGCTCCTCCTAGGAGCAATAAAAACCTCTTCCCAGGTTTTTATTTTGAGACAGAGTCTCACTCTGTTGTCCAGGCTGGAGTGTCATGGCATCAGCCTACCTCACAGCAACCTCAAACTCCTGGGCTCAAGCAATCCTCCTGCCTCAGCCTCCTAAGTAGCTGGGACTACAGGCATGTGCCACCATGCCCGGCTAATTTTTTCTATTTTTAGTAGAGACAGGGTCTGGCTCTTGCTCAGGCTGGTCTCAAACTCCTGAGCTCAAGCAATCCACCTGCCTCGGCCTCCCAGAGTGCTAGGATTACAAGCATGAGCCACCGCGCCTGGCCTCTCTCTGGCCTCCTACGAGTACACCAGGAAGAAGCCAGGCTCTCCAGCGATTCTGTGGTTGGTAGGGTCGCACCGCTGTGTTTGCTGCTCTCCTCCCTGCCTTGCTTTCATTTTTCCACATCTTCACCATTTCACCCCCCAATAAAACTTCACTTTGCCTCAAGCTGTTTTCCAGGCCTTCCAGGCCAAGGCAAGTGGAGCTCCAGTGCCAGGGAAAGTTCTGGCTCGAGCTGGCACTCCAGGGCTGACACATAGACCAAAGGAGCCAGCTTAGAGGAAGGAGAGCCCAGGATGGCACCTTGGGCCCCTAAGGTTTGCAGGTCACAAAGTGAGCAAGAGGAGGGACCCAAGGATGACCTCGGAATTGTATCCTGGAGGGAAGGAATGGTGGTATCTAAAATTTGCCCCTAGGATTGGGAGTGGAAGTCACTGACAACTGTGCATTTGGGTGGAGTGGTGGGAGCTTGGTCACCCTGGGTTTCAGAGGGGTGGGAGGAGACATAGTGGTAGCAGAGTGACCACACAGAGTTTGCTGCTGAAGGGAGCAGTGTGTGCGGCAGCTGGAAGGGGGGTGGAGTCGAGAAGGGTATTTGGGATTTTTCTGGAAGAAAGTGCAGCATGTTTGGGTACTGATGTGAATGATCAAGTGAAAGGGGCAGGCCAGGCACGGTGGCTCACACCTGTAATCCTAGCTCTCTGGGAGGCTGAGGCGGGCGGATTGCTCAAGGTCAGGAGTTCAAAACCAACCTGAGCAAGAGTGAGACCCCATCTCTACTATAAATAGAAAGAAATTAATTGGCCAACTAATATATAGAGAAATATATTAGAGAAAAAATGAGCCGGGCATGGTGGCTCATGCCTGTAGTCCCAGCTACTCGGGAGGCTGAGGCAGTAGGATTGCCCAGGAGATTGAGGTTGCTGTGAGCTAGGCTGACGCCACGGCACTCACTCTAGCCTGGGCAACAAAGTGCGACTCTGTCTCAAAAAAAAAAGTGAAAAGGGCAGACGGTGACAGAGGGGACGCACAGCGTAATGGACTGGATGAAACACGGTGGGCAGCACCTGACCTGCCCCCATGCCTAGCTGGGGTAGGCACCACCATCTGTCCACACGGTTGGTACAGCAGGGACCTGGGTTCGAATTCTAGCTCTTCACTTTCTGTGGTCAAGGAACTCAACTGACCTGTTTATTTGCCCATCTGAAGAATGGGGGCTTAGAAGCTGTGAGTTATGCTGAAGAACAGCCCCTCCCTCCGCAGGAAAGCTCTTGGCACTGTAAAGCTCTTGGCACTCTTGGCACTGTAAATGCGCAATAAAGGCAGACTTTTCTCAGTGCTCTAGACAAGCACAGGAGTCACCTGAACTCCTGCCAGGCTGGCCTGAAAGCAGGGTGAGGGAAGGCACCCAGCGTCACCCAGGGTGGGGTCCAGCAGGGGCACAAGGCAGCGGGGCCCGCTCCCTGGAGGTCAGGGCCCTGCTCAGAGGAGCGCAGGCACGTCCTGTCGTCCTCCCGGCTTCAGCGGAGGCTGAGCCCAGTCCCTGCCTGCTTTGCCCTGGCGGCAGGTCCGGAGCGCGGTCTCCGCCCGGATCACGCAGGTGCGGGCGGGGGACGGAGGCGCGCTGGCGGAGGGAGAGGAGGGCTCCGGCCCCGCGCGCGTGGACCCGGCGGGGGGGGGGGGCGGCTGGGCCCCGCCCCGCGCGCCCCCGCCGCGGCCGGCGCGCGCTCCCGGGACGCGGCGGCAGCTGCAGCATCCTTCCCACCCGCGGCAGCAGCAGCGGACCCGGGCGGGGCCGGCCGGCCGGACAGACGGACACAGGGCGCCGGGGCGCGCGTCCCGCCCGGGCCGGCCATGGAGGGTGCCTCGTTCGGCGCGGGCCGCGCGGGGGCCGCCCTGGACCCCGTCAGCTTCGCGCGGCGCCCCCAGACCCTGCTGCGGGTCGCGTCCTGGGTGAGTGGCCCCTGCCCAGGTCCCGGCTTCGGCTCCGGACCCCGCCTCGCCCCGTGGCCCTCTTGCCCTCTCCCGCCCCTTGCCCCTCGCCCCTGAGCCTCATCCTCATCCTCGCCGGCCCCTCCCCCGCCGGCCGCAGGTTGGGGTGACGTCACCCGGCTGGGCGCGCCCACCTGCGGGCGGGGGAGAGACCCGCGGCCAGGGAGAGGGACCTTGAGAGGTCACCGCCAGTCGCCCCCTACCCCCCAATTCCTGTTTAGAGCTAACTCCAAGCCCCCTCCTCGGCCCTCGCTCCGCTTCCCCCGTTCGCGTGACCTGGAAGCGGGCACCGGGTGGGGACGGGATTCGCTGGGGGGGCCGAGGAGGGGCTACGGCAACCGAGAGAGATCGCGCGGAGCCTCGCCCCTTCCCCGCACACCCCCTCCAGGCTCCTGGAGGAACTGGCCCTTCCCCGCCCCACCCCCCAGGCCAGCTGTGAGTTGAGGGAGGGGGGCTCGGGCTGGGGAGGCTTCCTGGAGGAGGCGGGAGGCGCAGGTCGGGGCATCCCTGGGACTGGGGCCTTGCCCCTCCTTGCTGCCCGGGACGGTGACGAGTTCGAGTTCTGGGTTTGTCCAGCCGCTCAAGCTGGCGCGGCCGCACCCCCACGCCCGTCTCTGAGAGGCTGTGCCACGGTGGGGCGGAGGGCCGCCGCCTCCCCGCGGAGTGACTCTGACCCGACCAGGAGGCGGGAGCCCTGCGTCTGGTCCTAGCTCATGCCCAGACTTGTGGCCCACTCTTGAGGGCCATGCCCATGCCCTGGCTTCCCCCCGACTCTTGTATGTCGGAGCTGGGTCGGGGAAAGAGCTAAAGGAAGAAGTTGAGGCTGGAGGTCTTGTCTTGGCAACAGAGGGCTGCCCGGAGCTGAAAGAGCAGCCTCTGGCTAAAATGACCGGGGTCCACCTCGTACCTGCTGCCGGGACTGGCAAGCAGAGGCACTGAGGTGTGACCGAACCCCAGAACTCCATGGTGTCTTGTTCGAGCTCGGACACTTAGGGCGACATTAGTAATTCATCACAGTCACGCGGGGGTCATCATCCCTCGGATCTCCACCAAGTGCGGGAAGCCGCGGGGCCATTTCTGCATCCCGGCACTCCGAGAGCTGTGCCCGTTACCCATTTGGCTAGAAGAAGCGCGCGCTGCACGCGGCCTGGCAACAGCTCCGGCACTTGCCCCGCTGCAAGCGCGCGCCCATCTCCTCCTGCCCCGCGGGTTCCAGCCTGGGAGTCACCAGCCCAGGTGAAGGCCCCTGTTCCACACTCTCGAGTGGCTCTGGGGGGCACCACGGGCCCCACGCGGGGCGGATTCAACCCCACACGGTTCAATCTCAGCCTCAGCTATCAACCGCGCGATGCTGGACAGGTCACTCCACCTCTTGAGCCCCCAACGTCTCCATTTATAAAGGGGACAAGAACAATGGCGGCCGCGCGGGGTTTTGGAGGGTCCACTGGGCAGACGTAGCGGTTTTAGCGCAGGGCCTTGGCATAGTAGATGCTCAGTGAACGGTTCGTCTGTCGGCAGTTGCTCAGTGCGCCAGGGCTGGGAAAGGAAGGGGTGCTGCAGGGACAGGCCTGGGACGGGGCGGGCGACAGAGACCTCGGGTCTGCGCGGCAGAGGGGCCCCGCAGGCGCTGAGCGCCGCCCGCCGCCGCAGGTGTTCTCCATCGCCGTCTTCGGGCCCATAATCAACGAGGGCTACGTGAACGCCGACAGCGGCCCCGAGCTGCGCTGCGTCTTCAACGGGAACGCGGGCGCCTGCCGCTTCGGCGTCGCGCTCGGCCTGGGGGCCTTCCTGGCCTGCGCCGCCTTCCTGCTGCTCGACGTGCGCTTCCAGCAGATCAGCAGCGTCCGCGACCGCCGGCGCGCAGTGCTGCTCGACCTGGGCTTCTCAGGTGCGCGGGGCGGGGCGGGGCTTCCCGGCGGGCGGGGCTGGCTGCGGGCGGGGCTTTCTCAGGTGCGCGGGGCGGGGCTTCCCGGCGGGCGGGGCTGGCTGCGGGCGGGGCTTTCTCAGGTGCGCGGGGCGGGGCCCCTCGGGCTGCACCTGCGCGTTGAGCGGCGGAGCGGGCGTGGCGCTGCCCAGAGGCGGCTCCACGCCTGATACGGTCCGGGCAAGGCGGTGCGCGGTGCCTGCGTGGAGCGCCGCCCCGACCCGCGCCCGCCGCCCCCAGGGCTCTGGTCCTTCCTGTGGTTCGTGGGCTTCTGCTTCCTCGCCAACCAGTGGCAGCGCACGGCGCCCGGGCCCGGCACGGCGCAGGCAGGGGACGCGGCGCGGGCCGCCATCGCCTTCAGCTTCTTCTCGGTCCTCAGCTGGGTGAGTGCGCGGCGGCGGCGGCGGCGGGCGGCGGGCAGCGGGCGGCGCAGTTGGCCCTGGCTGACCCCGAGTCCCCGTCCAGGTGGCGCTCACCGTGAAGGCCCTGCAGCGGTTCCGCCTGGGCACCGACATGTCACTCTTCGCCACCGAACAGCTGAGCGCTGGGGCGGGCCAGGCCTACCCCGGCTACCCTGTGGGCAGTGGCGTGGAGGGCACCGAGACCTACCAGAGCCCGCCCTTCACCGAGACCCTGGACACCAGCCCCAAAGGGTACCAGGTGCCCGCCTACTAGTGGCCGGCAGGCCCAGACCAGGGCTCCAAGGCCACTCCACCAACGCAGGCCCCAAGGCCTCCTGGGGCCTCCCTTGGGTCCTTCCTGTCCAGCACCAGGGACAGAGGGGGTGGCCACTGTGGGCTGTCCAGCGCCAAGAGGGGCTAGTCCCTCCAGTGCCTGGGCCGTCCCCCTGCAAGGCCCCTCAGTCCCCTCATCACCTGGACCCAGGACTGAGGTCCTGAGGAGGGGACAGCACAGCCCAGGGCATGTGTCCCCCAGCCGGAGTGGACTGGCCTGGGGGAGGCATTCCCCTCAATGGCCAGACAACCCAGAGCTCACCTGTCCACTCTGGGGTCAAGGGTCCAGCTGCCCCTATGACCAGGTTCAGGAACTGCCGAGGACCAGGTACAAGGACACCCCTCACCGAGGGTGGGGATCTTGGCTACTGCTCCCCATCCCATGTCCCCGTGGGTAGTGACTATCCTTGGTCCTGTCGTGATGGTTCGTCCCGTCCAGACCCTCCCTCCATTTCCCCTCGCAGGCTCGGTAGAGCAGCACGGCCCTGTCGATGTTGTGATTGTGGTCAAGTCTTCAGGTTCCGCCTCCTAGTGCCCCACAAGCAGCCCCACTGTCTGTGGCCCAGCCCCACGCCCTGCCTGCCTTTGCCCAGGCCCAGGTGTTGGTGGTTCTGGCCAGGAAGGCACAAGATAGCCGTGGGCCTGGGCATCAGCCCTGTCCCAGCCCTTTGGTGAGAACTTGCCCGAGGAGGGAACAGGACACCTGGGTGCCAGGCAAAACAAGCTCCTCACCGGGAGAGAGGCCGAGAGGTTCCATCTGCCCGCTGTCCTGGACACGTCCATTCTGTGCTGTTCCCTTTACCTGGCTTCCTGGACCAGCCCTGCCCTCCACCCCACACCCCTGTTTTACGGCCCAACCCCAGGCGGGGGTCCCTCTGCGTAGCTGACGACTCATGCATTGCTCAAAGCTGGCTTTTCACATTAAGTCGATACCAAACGTGGTTGCCGCATTTCATCTTAAGACAGATGCCTCCCTCTGGAGTTGCAGTTGAGTGACAACCCTGTACATTGTGGCATAGACCAATTCTGTGTGGATATTTAAGTGAACATGTTTACAATTTTTGTATATATAGATCTCTCCCTCCCTATTCTGAAAGAGCAATCGGTGATTGTGTATTTCAGTGTCCTATGTTCCAACTGCAACTTCTTTACAATAAAGACTGTAAACAAGTTGACTGTGACTGGATGCTCCTGGAATCATTGCTCCCTCTGCCCCAGGGTTGGGATCCAACAGGCACTAGGGGCCAGAACCCAGGAGGGGCCTGGGAGGTGGAGGCCAGGCTGACCCCCACTCCAGGTTCTGGGGGCCCCAGGTCCATGGGCGCCCACCACCTGTCAAAGCTCTGCCACTCAGAGCAGGCTTTCTGAAATGCTGGGGAGACTCCCACCTCGTGTATCCTTTCTCGTAATACCGTGTTTCCTCGAAAATAAGACCTACCCATAAAATAAATCCTAGCAGGATTTCTAAGCATTTGGACAATATAAGCCCTACCCCAGAAGTAAGACCTAGTGATGGGCGTGGCTACGCAGCGCATCTGCACAACCCATGCATTTCATCGTGGATCGGTCAAGAAGACAAACAGCCCTTCTCATCTGCCCCATCATGACAGCTGCTATCCCAGAGATGACCGGAAAGGTGTGGGCAGCCCCACCAACAAGGTCGGCTCCCCCTATCAGGTCCTGGCCATCCTGTGCGCGCTGCAAGCTGAGGCTTTGAGGGGAAAATAACACATCCCCTGAAAATAAGCCCTAGGGTGTCTTCTTGAGGAAAAATAAATATAAGACCCTGTCTTATTTTGGGGGAGACACGGTAGCAGGAGTACTTCACAGATAGAGTCCTCTTCTTCTTTTTTTTTTTTTTAAGACATATACAGAGTCTCACTCTGTAGCCTGGGCTAGAGTGCTGTGGTATCAGCCTAGCTCACACCAACCACAAACTCCTGGGCTCAAGTGATCCTCCTGCCTTGTCCTCCCGTCCGGAGTACTGGACTACAGGCCGTGCCACCATGCCTGGTAATTTTTTCTATTTTAGTTTGTTGGCTAATTTTATTTCTATTTATAGTAGAGACGGGGTCTTGCTCTTGCTCAGGCTGGTCTCGAACTCCTGAGCTCAAGCAATCCTCCCGGAATGCTAGGCTCACGCCTGTAATCCTAGCACTCTGGGAGGCCGAGGCGGGCAGATTGCTCCAGGTCAGGAGTTCGAAACCAGCCTGAGCAAGAGTGAGACCCCGTATCTACTATAAATAGATAGAAATTAATTGGCCACCAATATATATATGAAAAATTAGCCGGGCATGGTGGGGCATGCCTGTATCCAGGCTACTCGGGAGGCTGAGGCAGAAGGATCGCTTGAGCCAGGAGTTTGAGGTTGCTGTGAGCTAGGCTGATGCCGACGGCACTCACTCTAGCCTGGGCAAACAAAGCGAGACCTCCTGTCTTCAAAAAAAAAAAAAAAAAAATTAAAGAGGACTCTTACAGCTAAGGCTCAAGTTGACTCCCACACCTTCTCTCCAAAACCCCCCTCCTCAGCAGTTTGGCCTGTATTTGCCGTATATGTATATTTGTGCTTATATTTGTATATATCTCTCTGAAAATTCGCCACTTTAACCATTTTAAGTGTACAGTCCGGTGACATTACTTATACTCCCAATGTGCCACCGTCACCAGCATTTCCAAATCTTATCCATTGCCTTAGCAGAGACTCTGCCCATTAAACAGTGACTCCCATGCCCCTGCCCGCACTCCCTGGTAACCTCCAATCTGCTTTCTGGCTCTATGACTTCGCCAGTTCTAGATACTCCGTGTGAGTGGAATCACACGTCCTTTCGCGCCTGGCTCTGTTCAGCCAGCATCATGTTACAACATGTGTCAGGGCTTCATGGCGTTTTGTGTCGGATGACATTCCACTGTATGCCTGGACCGTGTCTTGCCTGCTCCTCAGTCGACGGACACGGTTGTTTCCATCTTTGGGCTGCTGTGAACGTTGGGTGCACGAGTGTCTGTCTACTTTGTTTTCAGTTCTTTCGGGGATACCTCTGGGAGTGGAGCTGCTGGGTCATCTGGGAACGTTTGGATGTATGGCCAACCAGGAACCGCGGAACCTGCCTTTTGTACGTGCTTTAACGTGGCATGTGCAGCCGTAGGAAACGTGTTGCTTCATGTTTGTATTTGCATGCCGTGCTGCACACACTCTCTGCCACTTGATCTTTCCCTTCCACATCCACCTTGGCACATGCAAGTGTGGCTCATTCCTTTTTCCTCCTCTCTACTAAACCTCGTTTAGCGCCTCCCTGTGACAGACACCGGTATCTGCAGCATTTTGCTCCTCACGGCAGATGGTTTGCTCAGGGCCAGTGTTTCGCTAGGGTTTCTAAAAAGATCATGGTTGTCAAGGGCTCTGAGTGCTTTTCTTTTATTTTTCTTAGAGACAGAGTCTTGCTCTGTCATCCAGGCTGGAGGGCCGTGGCATCATCACAGCTCACTGCAGCCTCAAACTCCTGGGCTCAAGAGATCCTCCTGCCTCAGCCTCCTGAGTAGCTGGGACTACAGGCCAGCACCACTATGCCTGGCTAATTTTTTAAAATTTTTTTGTAGAGATGAGGTCTTGCTATGTTGCTCGGGTTGGTCTCAAACTCCTAGCCTCAAGTGATCCTCCTGCTTTGGCCTCCCAAAGGCCAAGACTACAAGTGTGAACCACCACATGTGACTGGAGCCCCTTTTATTTTGGAGAGACATACTGCATGTGTTTGCATCCCCGCGTCAGCCTATGTGAGCTCCCAGAGCCCGCATCCTTGCCAGCTCTTGGTGTTGTCAGACTTTGTAGCCTTTGCCAGCCTGAGAGCTGACAGGCTCTGGCTGTTCTCGCCTACAGAGAGGCAGTGTGGTGCGATGGTCAGAACAGATGCTCCAGTGCCCAGAGGCAGGGGTGCGAATCCTGCCTCTTGCCCCATGACAGGTCGCTTACCCCTGCCAGGCATCATTGTCCTTATTTGTAAAACGAACCAAAGGCGATCAGCTGCTATCATTTTTGTTTTTAAATTTTGTTCCTGATTACACGTGTGTTTATGTAGCTTGTGTTTACTAGTTACTTTTGTTTCATCTGTGAGTTTTGTTTCATATCCTTTATTCATTTCTCTGTTTTTTGTCTTTCATTGATTTGTAGGACTTGGGTATATATTCCGGGTATTTTACATTTTCTTTTTCTTTTTTGGGGGGAGGGCATCCATCAATCCCTATGGTATTTTACATTTTAAAGATTGCATTTATCACATGCTGGTTTGTCACTTGTTTCTGTCATCCTCTGTTACGTGCAAGTTTTACATTTTGATGCTGTGTTTGTAAATTTCATCCGCATGGTTTGGCTCTTCACAGTCTGGGGGTCTTTCCTGGCCCCAGGGTTGTTATCCCCAAGATATTCTTGTCCTTTCCTGTTATTTTTGGCATTGTTTTACAAATGTTTAATTCCTTTCTTCCAAACTTTTTATTTGGAAATAATTATAGATTCACAGGAAATTGGAAAAAAAAAAAACCAACAACAACCAGCACACTGAGCCTGTGCCCCTCGCCCAGCGTTCCCAGTCGGACCACCCCGCGCAGCTGCGGCGCCATCAGAACCGGGACCGGCCTTGGTGCGATCCACGGAGCTTACCAGGGTTTCGTGGGTCGTACAGAGCCCCGTGTGTGCATGCATGCGTGTGTGCGTGCATGCGTGTTTGTAGGTCTATGAAATTTTGTCAGCTGCGTAGCTCACGTAACCACCACCACATTCAAGATGCAGAGCCGTTCCGTCGCCACCCAGCTCTGACTGCTGCCCCTTTATGGCCACGTCTTGTCCCAGCCCCAGGCAACCACTGACCTGCCCTCCATCTCTATAATTTTGTTATTTCAAGAGCATTACATAAACGGAATCATACAGTATGTAACCTTCTGAGATTAGCTTTATTCACTCTGCATAATTCCCTTGAGGTCCATCCAAGTTGTGGCATGTATCTTTTTTCTTGAGACAGAGTCCCCCTCTGTTGTCCAGGCTAGAGTGCCGTGGCGTCAGCCTAGCTCACAGCAGCCTCAAACTCCTGGGTTCAAGCGATCCTCCTGCCTCAGCCTCCCACAGTGCTGGGATTACAGGCGTGAGCCACCACGCCCGGCCTGTTGTGTGTGTCAATACTTTGTTCCTTCTTATTGCCTAGTATTCCGTGGTGTGAACGTAGCACTACAATTGCTTTAGCAGTTCACCCATGCAAGGACGTTTGTGTTGCTTCCAACTTCTGGTGATTACAAATAGAGCTGCTGCAACACTTACAGACAGGTTCTTGCCTGAGTGAATGTCAGTTGTTATTTCTCTGGAATAAATGCCCCAAAGTGCAATTGTTGGGTTATATGGTAAACGTGTGTTTTTTTAAATAAATTATTGGCTGGGCGCAATGGCTCATGCCTGTAATCCTAGCACTCTGGGAGGCTGAGGCAGGAGGATCACTCAAGGTCAGGAGTTCAAGA